GGCTGCTGGTGGTCCAGCGGAAGCGGAGTGAGGCACCACGGGGACTCAGATTAAGCCTCGCCATCTGTGGGGGGCTGCGATCTGTGAAACTGTCGCCACTTCGAGGGCTGCTGGTGGGTCCAGCGGAGTGAGGCACCACGGGGACTCAGATTAGACCTCGCCATCCCTGTGTGAAACTGTCGCCACTTTCGAGGCTGCTGGTGGGTCCAGCGGAGTGAGGCACCACGGGGACTCAGATTAGACCTCGCCACCCCTGGGCGGCTGCGATCTGTGAAACTGTCGCCACTTTCGAGGGCTGCTGGTGGGTGGCCAGCGGAGTGAGGCACCACGGGGACTCAGATTCTGACCGCGAGCAATGCTCGCGTGCCCTTGCTCTGCGGTTCGTGCCACGTGGCGCTGCGACTCGAGCTGGCGGTCGTCCTTCGGACCCGCAGAAACATCTGCTGAGCTCGATGAGCTAGGGGAACTACAGGAAAGAAGTGCAGGAAACGGAGGCCGGTCATGCACTCGCCGATACCTCGTTGCTCTGTCATCGTCTTTGCTGTTGCATGATCCTTATCTGGCCTGCCGGCGCCGCGGCTCGAGCTGGCGGTCGCCCTTCGGGCCCGCGGGAACATCTTCTGAGACAAGTGGACGCCGCCGCCTTATTTGCAGGCAGCGCATTGCATTCGCGGACAGCAGCATGGCAGACCGCAGTGAGATCCTCAGTCGCGTGGTGTTGCCAAGCCTGGTGGAGACGCGCGTGATCGACCTGAAGTCCCAATCGCGCGTGCACTGTACCTGCGTGGCGTTCAGGCGCGCGCGCGATGCTGCTCGCTCCGCGTTCAACCAGTACGTCGCCAGTGCATATTTGGACGATGGACAACCGATTGATGATACGCGACCCCGGCCTTGAGTTTCTTTCCCGCGGGCCGCCCGCAGACGTGGCGGCGCGCCTGCGAGCGTTCAGCTCCCGCGCTGAAATGTGCGGGAAGGAGGCGGAGAAGCTAGCGGGCGAGCTACGCCTCGCTCGTTCCTTGCACTCTAAACAAGTTTTATCATGTGGAACTCTGCGACGACATGGCGCAGGCAGCGCTGCGGGTTTAGCTCGCACTTGAAAAACGCGGCAGTCTTCTGTCTCTTCCCGCCACTTTCATCGTCGTCCTATTCCCCGCCTCACCTTCCCCATGCATGCTGCTGCTTCCGCGATGGCCTTTCGCCCCCCCCCCGCCCTCCATTCCATCCCTCTCCTACCCCTCGTTCCCGTACCCGTTTTTCTTCGATCCTGGGGCCTCAAGCCTCGTTCTTTCGATCGTCGCCCTGTGAATCGTGCAACGCATGGGCATCCCATGTAGCTCGCACAGCAAATCGCCGCGCCTACACTGTCGTTGTTCCTGCTAATGTTGGCATACTCCCCTTGCCATTTGATGCACGTGGGTTGGGCACGTCGCAGGGAAATGTATTGAAGCGCTTCCCCCGGGGCACGCGCCCGTTTTTTTTTTCCGGGAGGGGGGAGTCACAAGGATCAGAATGCGCCCCTGGTCCCGCGTTTACAACAACGGCTGCTCCACCGAAGCCCCGAGTGGCTGCACTCGCATGCGTTTCCCATGACCAGCGCAGCGTTTCGTGACCCTTATAGGGGGCTCCACCGAAGGCCCCAGTTGCGGTGCCCGCGTGCCCCACCCAGTACAGCGCTTCGTGGACCCATAGGGAACTCCGCCGAAGGTCCCAGTGGCGGCCCGGCCCCATTGCGGCGCACCCCTCACACGCTTCGTGGCCCCATAGTGGGTTTGGCGTAAAACCCCCACTGACAGCGCCCACATTCCGGCCCGCCCCACATCGGCACACCCTTTTCATGCTTCATGGCCCCACGAGGAAATCCCCCGAAGGCGATACCCGCAACGACGGTACTCACAACTGAATTCGGGTCCTTCGCCAGGATAGTGTTAATCGCGCGCGCCAGGGCTCGGAGAGCTCGGGGAGCCAACGCGCCGCAGATGATGGCAAATGGCATGAACGACGCGCCGCTTCCGAGGGGGGCGCGCCCGCGGGGTGAAGCGCAGCGCATGCGTGATTGTTGCGCACATGCGTTGCGACTTTGTTTTTTCGCGGGCCTTGCGGCGCGCGCTGCCCGCTGCATTGGGTTTGTGAACGTGTGGTGCCTGGGGCCAGAGGTTTCGTTGAGGCGTTGGCGTTGTTTGCTCGTCCGGCCTGCGTTCCCCAATGGCCGCCGCTGCAGCCCTTCCCCTGGCGCGTGGTTTGTCCGAATTAGAGGCAAGTTTCCGGCAGGGCCCGCTTCCATCGTGGCGACGGAAGCTCCGCTCGATTGCGAAACACGAAAATATCGCGGCGCTGGCGGCGGCGACGGCTTTTGCCTCTGCCGCCCTTGCCCCCCGCCCCCCGTTGGCGGGCGTCCCCCCCCCATTCGCGGGGGGACAATGTTTCAACGCACGCCCCGCTTTGTGTGCGTGTTTACTTCACAAGCGGACACTATGGCGAACCAGCTTGCGCTTTGGGAACACGCTTCGCGGCACGTCCTGTTTGTTTTGGTGCCCCAGCGTGTTTCAGGAAGGGTCGGTTGGGCAATTGTTTAATATATATATATATATATATATATATATATATATATATATTAAAAAGTAAAAACATACACACACAAGCTTCGTTGAGCCGTCGGTCGGGATATTCTCGCATCTTGAATCCCACGATGGTTGCACTTGAAAATCCACTGTTTCATCGGGAGGGCTTCCAGTGGTAATGGGAATTGCATCGACGATTCCACCCCGCTCTCCGTCTTGAATGCATCTTGTGAGCATATTCGTGTGTCTTCCGGGCTTTTGGTGGCATCTTGGGGCCTTTGACCGCCGCGTCGGGAGCTTGTCGGGCACATTGTGGGGGAATTTCCTGTCACCGCGGAAGGTGCTTGGCAATACGGGGAGGATGGAGGAGGAGGAGGAGAAAGAGGAGGAGAAAGAGGAGGTGAAAAAGGAGGAGAAAGAGGAGAAGGAAAAGGAGGAGGAGGAGGAAGAGGTGGGAACGAGGAGGAGGAATACCGGTGTGTGCGAAATAAACGACCGTGGCACGCGGAGCGCGCCAGACGGTTCACAGTTGCCTCCACATGACAACCAGATCATCGCACAGCCATCGCACGCACGGCATCGTTCGGTTCACAGTTGCCTCCACATCACAAACAGATCATCGCACAGCAATCGCACGAACGACATCGTTCGATTCACATGCCAACATCATCGCATCACAGCCTTTGCACGCACATCTTGGCAAGGAAGATGGTTTGAAGTCTCCTTCACCGCGGCTGCCAAAACATATCACAGCCTCTGCACGTCTTCGCCAGGGAGATGTTTTCATGTCTGACTCACTGGGCCTGCCCGAGTCATATCACAGCCTCTGCACGCAAGGTCTCGCAAAGAAGATGTGGTCGCTTCTTTGTCGCCGGGCCTATCCCTCCCCCCTCCCTCGCCCGCCGCCCCACCCTCCCATCCTCCAGCCTCCAATTCAAAATCGTCCGCACTCGTCCGCAATCCTCCCGCAGGCCTCCAGCACTAGTCCCCAGACGCCTCCGCTCGAATTTGATATCCTCCGCACTCGTCCGCACTCCTCCCGGAAGCCTCTGGGAGGCAGTCCAGAGGCCTCCGCTGGAATTTGACATCCTGCGCATTCGTTCGCACTCCGCCCGAAAGCCTCCGGAGGCACTCCCCAGAGGCCTCCGCTTGAATTTGAAATCCTCCGCATTCGTCCGCACTCCTCCTGGAGGCCTCTGGAGGTGCTCCCCAGAGGCCTCCGCTCGAATTTGAAATCCTCCGCAGTCGTCCGCACTCCGCCCGAAAGCCTCTGGAGATACTCCCCAGAGGCATTCCTTCGCACTCCATTTGAAAAACATCCTCGTTCCTTCTCCTCGTCGCCCCTCCTCCTCCTCCATCCTCCTCATTCCTCCTTTTCCTCCCTCCTCCCTCCCTTCCTCCTTCCTTCCCTTCCCCCCCTTCCCCTCCGAAGTGCAGAGTTGTTCCCTTTCCTCCTCCTCTCCTCCTCCTCCTCCTCCTCCTCCTCCTCTTCGTCCTCCTCCTCCTGATTCCTCATTCCTCATTCCTCATTTCCTCCTCCTCCCCTTCACCCTCCTCTTCCCCCCCTCCCCCCACTGCCTCCCTGCCCCCCTTCCCTCCCCCTTCCCTCCCCCTTTCCCTCCCCCCCTCCCCCCCGAAGTGCAAAGCTGTTTCCTCCCTCCTCGTCCTCCCTCCTCGTCCTTGTCGTCCTCCCTCCCTCCTCCTTCCCTCCCCCCCCCTCCCCCCCGAAGTGCAAAGCTGACTCGTGGGCCGGGCAGGTCGGCGCTTCCGCCTCCACCCAGCTTTGCTCCATGGGGGGGAGGGGGGGGAGGGCGAACACGATTTTTGGGCTGTAACAGATGAGTGCGAAAATGTGGCCCCACGTGCTGGCGAATCTCATGGGACCGCGAATGTGGCCTCACGCGCGGGCGAAGATAATGGAAACGATACAGTGGCCTCATGGGACCGAGAATGTGGCCTCACGCGCGGGCGAAGATAATGGACACTCCGCCGTTCCAGGAGGACCCTGTTTGAGCGTAGGGCGAAGATAATGGAAACGATACAGTGGCCTCACGCGCGGGCGAAGATAATGGACACTCCGCCGTTCCAGGAGGACCCTGTTTGAGCGTATTCTGGCCCCGCGCCCGTTTCGCGGCACACCCCTCACACGTTTCGTACGACACGCCCGATCATTACTTCTAATGCAGAACGCCACTACCTCATCATATCGACGGATGGTCGTTTTTTACGCACGCCCCGGTATATATGGAAAACAAGAGGAGCGGTAGGAGCAGAAACAGCAGCAGCAAGAGAAGGAGGAGGGGACTGAGCTTGACAGGGCTTCAGTTGGGAGGGTAGTCGGTCCCGCCTCGGACATCAAATGTATAAGTTGTTACTGCGCACCGCTTCTGATTAGCAGCCTCAGGGCTACCCCCGCCGTTCCCTAGTTGCGCGGTCTCCACCCAGGATGCGTTTCTCCACGCCATATCCAAGGATTTCGTCCTGACTGTGCCAAACATCGATTTCATGTGCCAGGCCTGCCAGGACTGCACCAGCAACGTCATATCAAAGCTGTTCGCATGCTTGCCCACGGCCGAGGCCAACCGGTTCTTCTGCCACATGATGCTCGCCACCCTCACGGACATCCTGCGGACGGAACAGCAGATGTCTAACATTCTAGATTTCAACGCCGCGAACCCTAGTGGGAAGTACAAGCTCGATCTGGACAATTGCTCGGCGCACGCAGTCGCCGAGCGGCTTCGCCTGCTGGACAGGTGGGAGAGGATCGTCGACGGCAGACGCGGGCGCATCGACGTGTCGCAGCGCCACAACCGCTCGCATTTCCGCAACGAAAGCTTCCAGGGCCGCTCCCTGTGGCCGCGTTTCCCCTCGGTCGCCGACTGGCCCCTGCCAGAGACCTCCAGGCTGGAGGTGGCCACCGGGCAGGCTCAGGGCAAGGATAGATCGCCCCGGGACGTTCTGGAACTCTCTCGGAGCGTTCTGAAGCACCCCTTGATCGCCCACAGCGCCCGATCGTCTTCCAGACACGGCGGCCTTCAGAGATCGCCGATGTTTCCAATATGTTTCCCAAACCGATGTTATCCTCGTCCTGGCTTCGTCTTAGGCCAGGGCCTCTACGGCTGGGAGGTTGACCTGCAAGGGCCGCGGGGCCCTTACAGAAGGAGGTGGCCCCAACCCGTTTCCGTCAGTTGTTTTGGGGACGTCCAAAGAGTAGGCGCATTTCGCCTGTCGGCAGAAGCTAGCAGAAGGAACAAGGCGGCGGGTGACGCCAGCGGAAGGCGGCGGAGGAAAAAGTGTGTCGTCAGCATGTGCGGGTTCAATGTTTCCAGAGCCAGTCGCATGAAAGGATTCGACTCCGTTCCTCGCCCTTCTCCCCCTGGGCCTGATGAGGCCCCCGCTCGCGATTCCGCCTGCCGGGGCCCCCGAGGTGGACTACGTGACGACGCAGCGGCCAGGGCCAGACGCGGAGTGCATAGACGAGGAGTTGTGGGCGCAGTTGATGGCGTGCCTCATGGAATCGCCCTGCGACCCAGAGAACAAGCTGAAGGCACCGCGGGCGCACGCGCACGCGAGAAACAACATGATCCGCGCCGGCGGCGATCGGCCGTGCGAGAGCGAGGGGCACAGGGTGATTGGGCCCTTCCAGGGCCCCAAAGCCTTAACGAAGTCTGCGCGCTCCCCCAGAGCGCCGGCCGCAGCATACCCAGAGTGGCTGAGACTGACTGAGGTTCCAGCCAGCACCCACAGGTTCAAGACGCTGGAGTACAGTCAACCCGCATGGTAGGGATGGGCAACATTCCCAAGGGCACCCTTGCATCCTTGCCTCCTCGGTCCATCCTTGGCCACTCTCGTGGGCCGCGCCCCGCTCGAGGAGCTTCGGCATGGGCGTCCGGGGCCCTTGCGTCCTCATCGCGCATCCTGATGACACGGCTCCGAGCCGGCACCCACAGGTTCCGGACGCCGGGGCAGGGGCCAGGCTGGGCTCGGGAGGGCCCCGGTGCTCGGGCCGAGCCCCAGGTCTTGGTCGGGGGGCCTGCTCGCGGCCGAGGCTCGCCGTGGCCAGGGAGCCACCCGTGCTCCTTCTTCGGCGCTCCTCCTGGTAGGGCGATGATGTTGTATGGAGGAGGAGGAGGAGGAGGAGGAGGAGGAGGAGGAGGAGGGGGGGAGGAGGAGGGGGAGGGGGAGGAGGAGGGGGAGGAGGAGGAGGAGGAGAGGGAGGAGGAGGAGGAGGAGGAGGAGGAGGAGGCGGAGGAGGAGGAGGAGGAGGAGGGGGAGCGAGTGGCAGTAATCGCACCAAGCCTTTCAGAAAGCCCCCGGGGTTATCGTTAGGAGGACGCCAGGGGGATGACAGCTGGTGTGGCCGTGTCGCCCCCGAGTGGTCTGGAAGCGCCGCTGGCGCCGAAAATCCTGTTGGATCTTCTCTCCGTGAGGTGTACTCTTGGGACCCTCTCGTGGGCTCGTTCCCAGATCTCGGACGATACGTGTTGTCTTCAATCTTGAATTTCCTCGGGGCCCGAGCGGCTGAGGAGGCGAGAATCACTGAGCAGCCAAATCGCTTTTGCGCCTCTCCTTGGCATCGCTCGCACGTGTCCACTTTTCCCAGCAAGGACCATCGAGGAGCACTTTTGTTCACCCTGCGAACACATGCACGCACGAAACCGACAAATGCACAGGGAATGGACGTCCGAGCGATGGCAAGTCTCGGAAGGCTTCCTCCGCTGCATTCAACCATATTGGACAATCACTGGCTTTGTCGGGGCATCCTGGGGCCTTCCAGGGCCGATATTGGAGGCTCCACGGTCGACTTGAGAACATCTTGATGGGCGATGTTAGCTCAGCGAGGGTTGACACCCGCTGGCCCTCAATATCGCCCGCTTTGGGGTTGTTTTTGTCTCGAGCTCCCCATAGCTGATCAAGCGGAACCCCTGGGAGCGCTCCCGCGTGCGAAGTGGATGGGCACCATATCGACCACGTTACTTGGTGACTGACTTGGCTGCAGGATGGCAGAAACCACGCGCAGCGAGCGACCTGTGAGGTGAGCGAGGCGATCCATGGGAGGGGGTGGGAGGTGATCGCTGGCACGTGGCCCTGGAGTAGCACGCCCTGATTCGGCCGAAGTCGGATGCTTATTTGGCCCAAGGGGCCTCAAGAGGCGCCGATATGGCACATGAGGGCGCCAAGAGGCCACCAGGACGGCCTCGGAGGGCTCCAGGAGGTGCCTAAGACGCCCGAGCAGCTCCCCCTAGACGGCTCAAAGAGGCCCTAAGATGGCGGCAGGGTGACCCCCAGAGGCTCCAAGATGGGTCCTTGAAGGGCCTTTGAGAGGCGAAGTTCGTCTAAATCACACTGGCTTCCGCACATGATCGATACCTACAGCTTTCGATCTCAAGATGGCTGCAAGAAGAGCCCCAGAGACATCCACGAGGGCCCACGAGAGCTCCGAAAACGATTCAAGGCGCCCCCAAGATGGCCGAAGATAGCCACCAGACAGCCCCAAGACGGCTCAAAGACGGCCCAACGACGGCCCGAAGGGCACCACGAAGTCCGAAGGAGATCCTCAGATGGTTCCGAGCCGAGAGGCTCCTGGAGGGGTCCCAGGGAGCGACACCAGGAGGGAGGGCCTCAAGACAGGACAGCCTGGCGGCATCGTGCCCTCTGGGAAGGTGCGTTCCATCCCTGTGCTGGCCAGGTCTCGAACGCCTCTTGCCCGTGGCGAGCCAGCGAGTTGTCCAGAGGATCGCGCGAACAGGTGTGTCTTTGTGGACCAACGAAGGTGCTTCGCTCTATATCCCACTATGTTTGGCTGACCTGCTTTCATGTGCGCCAGCTCATCGGATGCTTCAGAAATCCAGACCACCGAGTTGACGTGATCGTCATGTTTTTCTCACGGGTCATAGACATGTGGAACGAGAAGGTGTTCCGTGTGCGATTGACCCCCGACGAGATCAGACACGTGAATGAGCGTTTGGGATACGCCACCATGTTCCCATATCTGCAGCCAGAGAACTGCAGGCTTGCATTGGATATGTCGTATCCCGACCAGCGACTCGTGTGCAATTTCTTGGTGCGGCTGGAAGAGAAGGAGAAGCCCGGAAACATTCAGGAGTACGAGATGCATTACGTAAACGGGGAGGTTGACCGTTTCGAGATGGGAATTCCACGCAGCTGGGTTGAGTTGGATAGTTTGCCCATTGAGGGGGTATTCCACTGTTATTACAATTGCGCTCCAGAAGATAGGCGCTTCGAGTTTCGCCGGAAAAATGCCGAGACCGCTTCATTCTGCACAATGAGTATTGTTGAGAACAGTGTATCTTGGTGGGCGAGCCTCAACGAGGCACCTGTCGACGTCCTTTATTTGTTATCGTGGCTTGTGGGGAAGTACACGAACATGAATAAGGTATTTAGAGCTCTGACTGGCAGCACGGACCCTAACAAGACATTCAATTTGCGGCAGCTCGAGGATTTCCTTACGCAGACCGGTTGTACGAAGTTCCACGGGCCCGATCAGCATTCTCGCATAGCAGCTATTTTCAGATATTTGGATCCTGGCCGCGAGGGCTCTGTGTCAAAACACGAATTTAAAGCAATGGAAAAGCTTTGGCAGGAGATGGACCTCTGCATCCGCGAGTTCATGTTCTTTGTGTGTCACGTATTTGGCGATGACATGGAGGAGCTGTGGGCCGCTCTCGACGAAGATTCCAGCGGCGTTCTGACATTGCAGGAGTGGCTGAGGGCCTGTGAGCACGTAGGTTACTATGGTCCTGCCGATATTGTATTCAAGTTCATCGACAGCGACGACGATGGAGCTATACAATTCCAGGAGCTCGGGGTCCTCGAGGCGATCATGACTAACGTCGGGAAAAAGAAGTCCAGGGCATCTTTCGGTGCCACCCCAGCTTCCCAGGACATGACCCGCCCGCTATCTCCACCAAAGGAGAGCCCGAGGCCATGACCAGCCCACTTCCAGCGCGGGTAAGTGGCGCCTGAGCAGAGGAAGTCTCCCAGAAGGAGGGCCAGCAGCTCTTGAGCGCATGATCATCTTGAGCGGCCAGAGGGGAAGTACAAGTTGTGCTGTCCAAGAGGACGGCTTGATATTCGAATTCGGGTGTGGTGTTGCGTTGCTGTTCTGTTACTTCCACCCTTTCCAGTCCCTGGAAGGTGGATCATTCATCCCAGTGTTGTCAGGCACCTGCGTCTGATGGGGGTCGAAAGTTGTGCAGCCCGAGCGGCTGGCCTGCATCTTTGCATCAAGGTGTGGGATTACTTCTCGCGTTTCCTCGAAAACTGGAAGCTGTAGCACAACTAGCCCAGGTCCATATTTTGGCGGCCCAGGAGCGGTATAGCATACACGTTTCCGCCGCCTGGGACGCCTGCCTCTTAGGCGGCTGGAAAATTTATGCCATACTTCGCCAGCCGCCGTAGTGGTATGATTGGTTCAGCCGCTGCTGGACCAGCTTCCCCGACGACGGAAAAGTTCACGGACTCGTGAAACCGTTACCAGCCCAGTAATTTGGGCATTGGGCCAGGAGGGCGCAGACACAGTCTGGGGCCCAGGGTGGGTCTCGCCCGGGCTAGTCGTGGTCACAGTTGCGGGCTTTCGCATTCAGTTGTCTTACCCGCCCAGTTTTCCGGAGGTTGGTGCTCCATGCTGGCGCGTGGGCAGCCAGCTTTTCCGGGGGCAGGAGGGGGCCTGTTTTCTGAATTCGCTTCCCTCCCTCCCCCTCCTCCTCCTCCTCCTCCCCTCCTCCTCCTCCTCCTCCTCCTCCTCCTCCTCCTCCTCCTCCTCCCCCATTATCCGATTCTATAGGCTTAGCAGCATCCGCGACCCCTACATTTCTTTCGTGGGGGTGGCGGGGCTCGTCGGGTCGTGTTCCAGTCTCTTGTGGGTGACGACCGCAAAGGTAGGCATGCAGGAGCACCTTAGAACACGTTTCGCGCTGGCAGGCGCACATTTGCGGAAGCCGTCGACCGGGTCGAAGTCCCTCCGCCCCTTCCACCTCCCCCATCATCCGATTCTTACTGCTCTCCACCCATCCTACTACGATTTGCCCAGCTACAAGTTGCGGATGTCGCAGCTCGCAGAGAGGATCAGGGCCAAGGGGCGGGCCCGTTGTTCCGAGGCACAGCGATTTTGTGCTGAACCTTGTGTGGTCATGTGGCCTGACCTTATGGATGGACATTCACTCATCCACCCATCCTACTGCTCCCGCCCTCTGCACTTCTCATATATCGTTATACCAGTTCCTGTCTGCCGCGTCATCGTCCTTTCGTCCCTTCCCGCCCCCTGGGGGCGGTTGGAATCGCCGCCAGGTCATCGGGGGCATGCGGTGGATATGCTTCGAGTACACATATGGAGCTTCGAAGAAGAAGGAAACATAACATACTATTCAAACACACACAGCAATGTTCGGAGGTCCGCCCAGATTTCTTGGATGGCTGCCAGCGGGTCCAGCGCCGATCCAAGAGATCCGCGAGGGCCTCCGAATTTTATGTTGATGTAGATTGGTTTAGTGTCGGATGGTAAATCCTTGTGTTGGATGCCTCTGTGCAACATCAAAAAGGGTCCACGGCGGATTCTTTTTATGGTCGTAGGCTGGAAATCGGGCAAGACCCTTGCCGTTCGTCGGTGCCTTCGTCGCAGCCGCGGTCGCCGCCGTCGTCGCGGCAATCGTCGCCGTCACCGTCGTCGCCGCTGTCGTCGCGCTGCAATTGGAGGTTCGGCTCGTGTCCCACTCGCCTCGCCAACACCGTTGACGTTCCCACACCGTCGTCGGCGTCGCCGCCGCCGCCTCGCTTCCGTCGTCGCAGCAGTCGACGGCAGCGGCGACGACGGCGACGGCGGCAGTTTCCAGGTGCTTTTTTTTTGGCGACGAGAGAAGGAAAGAAATGAAAAAGTGAAGACCTTTTCAGAAGGCGGCGGGGGTTCTCAGACTTCCGAGCCTTCTGAGAAGGCCCGCCTCTTCTCACTCCCCCCCGCGGCGCGCCGCATTTTGGTGAATCCACCAGTCTTCACTTCGCATTTGGGTTGTGTGCCTGCCTGATTTGGGCGGGCAAGCAATTAACTCTTGATCCGGATTGCTCGTCGTCCTCGGCGTCGACAGCGGCAATTCGACAGAGCGCCAGAACATCGAAACAAACACAAGTGGCAAGTTCGATCCCCTCTGTTTGCACAGGGTCCGTGACCTCCTCCTGCGGACCGATGGTCGAGGAGGGGGTGGGATCGAGGAACCGAAGGGTTCCAGCACGTTTTTTCCCGCTCTGGGTGAGTCTAGGGTTGTGGAAGTCGACTAATGGAGAACAAACATGTTGCCAAATAGTTGCCAGATGTCAAAAATATTTAAATATGTTTAAACATGAAAACAACAATAAACATGTTTAGAACATGTTTATCACATAATTAACACGTTTTAAGCACAATGTTAATTCAATGTTACGATTGTTAGAGTGCCCATTGTCATGGCATCCACAAGTCTAGGAGTGAGGGCCGTGGAGAAGTCCTTGGAGTCTGCAGCCACCTCTTCGTCAGGAGGAGGTGGTTGAGGACCTCCCCAGGGCCCCTTGAGGATGTCACCCAGGAGTCCGTGTAGCAGGGGGGTCCTCTCATGCGACCCCACGAGCGGTGACATGGGGCGACTCCCTTTGCAATGCCCTTGGCCCCCTTCCTCCCTGAGATCCAGCGCCGCGGGAGCAAGAGCAAGAGCACGCCGCGGAAGCTCTCAGCCAGGGGCCCCGTGCCCCGTCACTCCTGCGCGGCACGCCCCTCGCCAGCCCGGGACCATCGGGGGCCCCAGGCCCCCGAGTCCGGGCGAGACGCCAGGCGCGAAGGAAGTGCGATTCCAGGGTTTCAGGGCTTAGAGCTAGGGAAACAAACAGCGACATCAAAACAAAATCTCAGAGGTCCACGCGGATTTCTCGGACCCGCGCTGGGGCCCCCTGGCGGCGCCTCCAACGGCCGCCCCTGGCGCGCTCCGCGCGCCAGGGAGGGGGGTCCGGCGCGGATCCAAGAAATCCGCGCCGATCTCCGAGTTCTCATTTCTATACCATGCGTCGTTCCCTTAAGAATGCTCCCGAACGCTCCCAGAGCGTTGCGGAGCGCTCCTGTGGAACGGCCGCGGCGCCCGATACATGCTCCAGACCCGCCTGCTCTCGGAGATCCCCCGACTTACCCTCATCCGAACTTGTCGTCGCCCTGCCTTCGTCTTGGGGTATCGCTCGGCAGGAGCTGGCGCCAGCCGGCCGAAGATGGCGGAGTAAGACGGCGGGAGGATCCGGTCCTCCGGCGAAAGGCGGCCGAGGCAAAGGCGAGGCGACAACATGTTTGAGATCAGGGTTCCCAGAGTCGGCCACGTGGCGAGCTCTTTGGCACTGCCTTGGTTCTCCCCTCGCTCCTGCTCCTCCCCCCCCTCCTCCTCCCTTGATCTTCCAAAGCTGTGCCCGCCCCCCGCGTGCCCCCTGCGAACGCAGGCTGCGCGGGCATATCGGGGGGGCTCCTTCCTCGGACTTCCTGCGTGCAGCTTCAAGGAAAAGGTGCGGCGAGGCCGGAGGAGGAGGGGGTGGGGATCAGAGGGGAGGAAGGAGGAGGAAGAGGAGGACGGGGGACAAGGATGAAGCAGGAAGAGGAGGAGGAGGAGGAGGAGGAGGAGGAGGAGGAGGAGGAGCGAGGGGATGAAGAGGAGGAGCCTGCTCGCTTGCATGGTTGTGATCGCACGCGTTATGGTCTCCCTGTGTCTCGACTGTTGGCGTGATTCGGACGCGACCGGGGCGCTCTCGCCGCCACGGCCGCGTTCGCCTGGAAGTCCCGTTCCGAGTGCGCTCCGGGAAAGGTCCGGGAGGGGGGCTGGAGGGGGGCAGGAGGAGGAGGAGGAGGGTCGAAGAGGAAAAAAAACAGCATCGACATAGACTTTTGGTGCTCCGCGCAGACCTCCGAAAGTTAACGGCGGATTCGTGTCGTGTCGACTGGCGGCGGCCCAGAATCGGTCGATGTTGAACGATTGGACGTTGCGGAAACGAACGATCGTTCAAAGTTGAACGATCCCCGCGGTGTCAGGAACCAACGCCCAGGTCGACACGACACGAGTGTGCCGTATGTTTATGTTTCTTCTTCTTCTAAGAAGGGTTGTGCGGGTGGGCGTTTCGGTCGGGTTCTACATCCCCCCATTGAAATCAAACGCAAATTTTTCCAACGGCGTGGCGACGCCCCCGGACCCTCAGCTTCAATGTTGACGCCGAGACTGGCGACTGCAATGTTCTTGTCGCCCCCGCGGTCGAGTGGGTTGGATCAAAACATGCGTTTTGTTTCAAGGAGGGTTGTACCCATCGGTCGTTGAAAGTAGACATTTTTGATTTCCAGATTCCAAATTACTTTCAGCGTCTTCCTACTTCAATGATCGAGTGGCTTCACCTGTTCCGTTCTCCTTGGCGGGCGGGCGGACACTCAATCTATGTTCAACGCCTTCCTGCTTCATGTTTCTACATACTTCTTCCAACCGATGGGTAATTGGGTTTCTCGGGGGTCCAAGGGGCTTCTTCGAGGAGGGGCAGCAGTAGGAGAGTGCGTTAGTTGATGGTGCGTGTTCCTGTCGGCGACGACGACAGCGACAAGGACGACGACGAGGACGACGACAAGGACGACGACCGAGAACGAGGGCGGCGATCGAGGACGACGACTGAGGAGGAGTGCGCGACGACGATGATGCCCACGGAGGACGACGACGACGACGCCGACGACGACGACGACGACGAAGACGACGCCAGCAGCGGCGACGGCGGCGACCATTGATATCCGAAGCCGAAAAAATGCCGACGTCGTGGAACATCACGACAGGCGACGCATGTTTCGGGAGCGCGCGAGACGAGAGTGAGGACTAGGGGTGTGTGGATACGATGTTCGGGCCAATAAGAAGTCCCAGAACTCAGAGCCATCTCCTCTTCTCTCAGTGCGGTCCCTGGCCCCATCTCGCCCGCGCACACGCCTCGGGCCATGATGCGCTAGATCCCCTCTTCGGCGACCGATGTGGTTAAGTAGAGCTCGGCAAGTGTGCTTTCACCAAGGAACGAGGGGGGCGGCATGCCGAGGCCCGAAAGTAGATCTGGATGTCACGCAAGCCCAGACTCACTCGCACGCCTTTCTGGCTGGCCAGCGCCGTCTGAAGGGGCGGCGGACGGGCGGGGCGGGGCGAAATGCAGCGCAAGCAAGCTTGCCACACGGCTGTCACACGTGTGACGTTAAGCACCCTCATGATCAAGATAAGAAAGTTGCATATAGACATAAACTTCCGGAGCTCTGCGCAGCATGTTTGGACCCGCTTCCCCGGGACAGGCTGTGCATCCCGAGCAGTTCTTCGACGGTCCCGAGGCCCAGCGAGGCCGAAAACTATGAGAGGCCTCCGTCTCGGCGTTGTCGAGGCGCTGGATGCTGGAGGACAGCCCGCGCCGCGAGCTGGTCCGTCCTTGATCTTGGCCTCGGGGGGCCGCTTCAGGGCTGCGGGGCCGTGAAAAGAGGGGCGAAGGACTGGCCCCCGGGCTCGAGGTCCCCAGGCCGATGTCTGGGGCCGATCCTCTGGCGGCGTCGCCGGCGGGCTGGGCGCAGGCCCCCCTGCGAGCCGCCGCTGCCCCGCGCGCTCTGCGCGCAGCTCCCCCAGCAGCTGGCCGACCTGCGGCGGCAGGCGCCGCGCGCCCCGCCAGCCGCGCCCCGCCGCGCCGCCGCCGCGCGCCGCTCGCCGTGGCGCTGCTGCCGCGCCGCGTCGCTGCCACGGCTCGCCGCCCGCTCGCCGAAGCTCGCCGCCGCGCGCCACGGCTCGCCGCCGCCCCGCGGCCGCCGCGCGCCGCGCCACCCCCCGCCGCCGTCGCCGGTCGGCTGGCCCGCAGAGCAGCGGGCCCGCGGTCGCGGGGCCCGCGGCAGGCCGCGCCGCCGCTCGCGCGGCCACGCCGGGGCTCTGCCGGCGCAGCGCCCAGAAGATGGAAGGCAGCGGGCGACGGTAGGTTCGCGCGGCGCTGGCGCGCTGGCGGCGCCGGCCAAGGCCTTCAAGGTCGACTTCTGCGACATGGAAGCGCCGAGGGACCCGGCCGATTTCAGCCCTGAACGATCGGGGCCGCGATCGATTCAAGGTGGAACGATCGACGCAGTATCCAAAACCTTTGGGCGCGCCGACGCCGCACGAACCTACCGTAGAGGTTGGCACTAACACCAATACCAGTGGTGCACCTCCACCGCGGAAAGATGATCCCGGCACCAAAATCTAGGATTCGGTAGCAGCTCATGAGAGCCCTTAATGTCCTCGAACTCTGCCTTCAGAGTGTACTAGCGTGTGCTAGCGTCTGGCAATGGATGAGGGAGCGTCGATCAGCGTCGGTTTAGCGTCGACTGGCATGGTGCTGTGGCAGTCATGAAATAACCAGCCACTCAGTCTAGTGGAACAAGACTTGAATGTCACAACACAGTGAGAGAAAGTCGAAAGAGAGGCAATGACAGCAAGAATACACGCTCAGCCCTCACTAAGGCACGCCTCAGCTGAGTCTCCGTGGTTCGGCTGACCAGGGGCCAGATTGGTCAGGAGCGCGCCGACACGGGATACTTACAACAACACGTCGGTCGAAAGAGCAGCCCGAGTCGTTGTAGTGCAGGCGTCGGCGTAGAATCGAATTGGAGTCATTTCCAAGAAACGTTTGTGCTATACGGTTGTTGAAGGGCAAGGACTGCGTGGAAGGAGTTACATGGAAAGTCAGAGTAGACAAGCGCACGCCGCGTTGAGAGGTATTTCAGCCAATTTGCCACAAGATAGCAATTTGGGAGTCAAAGACCAGAGCAGGCTCGACCAGTTTGTGTGGGCAGGCGGGCGTCGACAACCAAGAGCCATCAGGATGACGAGGGGAGGAGGAGGAAAAGGAGGAAAAGGAGGAGGAGGAGTGAGAGACTCCCAGCTGCCACAGAACGGGGAGATCGAGGGCAGAGGTCTTTGAATTGTTCGGGACCTCCTCCCCAGACCGTCTCCCGTCGTGAAACGAAACACCTCAGAAGGGGGGGCTTTGTCAGCCTCTCGGGGCCCTCGCTTGGCTCAAGTACCATCCAAAACTGCGCGCCAGGGCTCGAGCAAAACGGAGATTTTGCGATGCCGTGGACCGTTCTCGTTTCGATTTCGCTTCGCGGCACAGGCAGAACGAAGACAGAACGAGGGAAAACAAGAGCAGAACGATGACGAACGATGACAGAACGAGGGAAAGCAAGAACAGAACGACGACGAAGAGCAGGGTTTCGCTCGAGCCCTGCTGCGCGGAATGAGACGCCAGTCCTGGGAAGGGGCCGCAACCTCTGGGGGCCCAGGGGTGGCGTCGGGGCAGGGGTCGAGCCCGGGGGCCCCCGCGCTCCCGGAGAAGATCGCGAGAGCCGACTCTTCCCACGCCTCTGGCTTTCAGAGGCCCGTGCCCGGAAGGATCGGCCTGGAGAGGAAGTCGAGAGAGGTCCGTGAAAAGCTGGCGACGGGAGGTGTTCCGCAATCTTCGGCCTCCCGGGGCCCTTCCCACGCCTTTGGCTTTCAGAGGCCAGCGCCCGGAAAGATCGGCTCCGGTGAGGAAGTCGAGAGGCCCGGGGCCCCAGACCTCCTCGCGCTGCGGAAAAAACGCGGCGGGAGGTTCTCCGCTATCTGCGGCCTCCGGGTGCCCTTCCCGGGCCTCGGGACCGTCACCAAAAACATTCAGGATTAAAATTTAGATCGGGCAAGAACGGGAACGCCATTATGGTCTAATGGGCGCATTTGGCGAAGAAGAAGAAGAGGAAGGCGAGGACGGCCATTTCTCAGAAATCCGCCAGCGTGGGTGCCTGGTGCAAGCCGTAGCCGTCAAGCAACGTTTACCACCACCAGGTGGTCCACGCCGGGGACGCTTCCCGTCAACCGGTCCCCGTGAAGGGGTCCAGACCTTTGGGGGTCGACGCTGTGACAAAAATCACGACGTCGGGGGTCTGGTGTGCCCGAGCCTGACTGGCGTTGTGGAGCTCGCGGCCACGACGTGCGCAGGGGAAGCCCGCAATGCGGGCACCATGCATGTGATCCCTGGCAAAAAACCGGGAGCGGCCAAGAGGGGGGTAATGACGAGGGGGTTGGATGACATTGCGGGGGGCACGAGATTCCCCCAGACTTCATGGCGCCTCTTCTCTCTTCAATGCGTCCCCGGCCGGCCCCCCTTCTTGGGCCGCGCACATGCCGCCAGCCATGATCTGCGGCCCCCCCCCCTCTTTGACGCCCCTCTCTCGGCTGCTCCCGAGATGCGGCCGGGCGGGCCAGGACGAGGATAGACATGCTCCCGAGCGTTCCGGAGCCCTCTCGGAGCGCTCCAGCACGCTCTGAGAAGGCCGCGATGCCCGAGGCATCCTCCAGAGCCGCGGGCTCTCAGAGATTCCCGATTCAACCCCACCCGATGTTATATCCTCTTCCTGGCTTCGTCTTACGCCGGGGTCGGCATTGCGGGAGAGCACGCCGATGTCGGCCAGGTTCAAGCTACAATCCGAAACCC